CTCAATTTTCCCGTTCCTCTTTCTTTTTTCTACCCTCTGCTTCCTTTCTTAGCTCTTAGTCCTCCTCTTCTCCTTTTTTCAATTTTTCTCCCTCCACCACGTCTTATTCTCTTTCCTCCCCTTCACACTGTTCTTTTTCTCTCCCCCTCCTATTCAGGCTTTTACTACTGACTCATTTCCCGTTCTTGGGATATTTGTGACGTTCCCATATAAAACTAGAACAAATATTAGGTTGTTCGGTACATTATACCTGCAAGATATTTCTATATTTTCCACTTGTCTGCCACCAGTCTTTGACCTCAGCCACACCCAGCTTCTCTTGTCTTCTGCCTCGCACCCAACAGTCATGGCATTTCGCCAGATAGATTCTTCATCATCAGGTGCCCAATCAACCCGAACATGCAAGACACTTATCAGAGAATCAGCTTTACACTCACGACCTGCATTGCAAAGGAAAAGGTAGCGATTTATTTTTCGCTTTCTGCCATTGGTCTTCGGAGACGAATGGTTAGCTTACGCATTGTTCAAAGATGACTGTCAGTCAATGTATTAATGCCATGTCTGGTTTTTCGAAGCACAATGGTGCTGGCTTTATTTAGCGTTCGTCTTTGTTCATCTATTGAATTTGAAGGCCATATCTACAGGGCGTCCTAGAATATTGATCTTCTGTTTTCAGACATTTTCTAACAATTGAAACGAGGCATTACTTGAATAGAAAACACGCTAGGTTTATATCGAATTTTCCTTGATATTCAGTCGAACTTAATTATATAATCGTTAAATTAAACTTGGGAAAATATCTATAGACCTTATTAACTAGTTTTATTTCAATTGATTGATCAGTCTTTTATTGCGTGGTATCTTAAGAGAGTATATTACTGAGTATATGAGATTTCATATTATAAAATATGTATGACAGTTTAAAAAATTTGAGAATTATTATTATTTTCTTCCACTCCCAGTAACCCTTTGCGTCTTAGTGGCATTATTGCCTTGCTTGGGGTAAAATGACTAAAAACAAATAGTACTTTTCGAATACCATATATTCTATTTTTTTATCTATTTATTTATTTATTTACAAAATTCTATTTCAGCTAAAAAAAATTGTTCCTCGAATGACTACAAAAATCATCTCACAGAGTTCTTTTCTGAGAAAGATAAAGTTCTCTTCTTGTTCTTGTAACGGCATTCACCCGGGGTGGGTTGAGCCGGCTCCAATATTGGAGTTTCATGGGAATTTGGAATTCACAAGCGGCCCTCAACCAGAAATGCCTTGATCTATTCCCTCAACGAAAGATAAAGTGTTCTTAGGTGGATGGAATTATGAAGTTACACGAGAGACGACAGAAAATAGTGGAATGAAATGATAGATAACTTTCAATAAAGCTAATGTAAAAAAACGTCTCTTATTTTCACTTACGCCGGTGACACTGTATTGATGGCGGACACTAAAGGAAAACTGCAAAAACTCCTTGACAAGGTCACAAAAAAGCGAGTAGAAACGAGTAGCCATTAACTATCAAAAGACATTTATTGGGAGTTTATAAAGTTCGTCTGCAACTTTAAGTACTTATAATTTTGGAGCTATACATGACAGAATTAATCTGTATGAAATAAAATATTTATAACCTTGATTTGTCGAGTTCTGTGATTCGAAAATATGATTATTTTTCTTTTTATCTACTTTTTTTTTTGACTTTCTTGAAATAATTTGAAAATGTCTGATTTTATTTTTTTTTCCAGAATTGTTATTGACCAATGGCGTCACTAGAAGAGAAAGTAAACTAAGGTTCATTAGTTGGCTGTGTTAGATCGATTCATTTGTTTTTTTTTTACGGCTTATCAACCTTTTACAGGTTATTTAACACCAGAAAAAATATCTTTAATTTGCAAGAATTTTGGGTAGAAAATGATGACTTATACAAGCCCTACTAGTTAGCCTACATCTGGGGGTAAAATATGAAGATTCTTACTTTTCCCAAGAATATTTACGCGTAAGTGAATATAATAAATCCGATGGAAATTGAACCACTGCTCTCTGGTTTCCAGGATCAAGCCGTTATCCATTTTTACCATCCGCATATCTAAGCATAAAGCACCTGGTATTCTCAAGCGGTCACCCATCTTAGGTACAGACCAGGCTCGACGTTGCTTAGGCTGGTATTCTCAAGCGGTTACCCATCTTAGGTACAGACAGGCTCGACGTTGCTTAGGGCTGGTATTCTCAAGCGGTCACCATCTTAGGTACAGACAGGCTCGATTCTTAGGCTGGTATTCTCACCCATCTTAGGTACAGACAGGCTCGACGTTGCTTAGGCTGGTATTCTCAAGCGGTCACCCATCTTAGGTACAGACAGGCTCGACGTTGCTTAGGCTGGTATTCTCAAGTGGTCACCCATCTTAGGTACAGACCAGTCTCAACGTTGCTTAGGCTGGTATTCTCAAGCGGTTACCTATCTTAGGTACAGACCAGGCTCGACTTTGCTTAGGCTGGTATTCTCAAGCGGTCACCCATCTTAGGTACAGACCAGTCTCAACGTTGCTTAGGCTGGTATTCTCAAGTGGTCACCCATCTTAGGTACAGACCAGGCTCCACGTTGCTTAGGCTCGTATTCTCAAGTGGTCACCCATCTTAGGTACAGACCAGGCTCAACGTTGCTTAGGCTGGTATTCTCAAAGTTACCATCTTAGGTACAGACAGGCTCGACGTTGCTTAGGCTGGTATTCTCAAGCGGTCACCCATCTTAGGTACAGACAGGCTCGACGTTGCTTAGGCTGGTATTCTCAAGCGGTTACCCATCTTAGGTACAGACAGGCTCGACGTTGCTTAGGCTGGTATTCTCAAGCGGTCACCCATCTTAGGTACAGACAGGCTCGACGTTGCTTAGGCTGGTATTCTCAAGTGGTCACCCATCTTAGGTACAGACCAGTCCAACGTTGGCTGGTATTCTCAAGCGGTTACCTATCTTAGGTACAGACCAGGCTCGACTTTGCTTAGGCTGGTATTCTCAAGCGGTCACCCATCTTAGGTACAGACCAGTCTCAACGTTGTCACCCATCTTAGGTACAGACCAGGCTCCACGTTGCTTAGGCTCTATTCTCAAGTGGTCACCCATCTTAGGTACAGACCAGGCTCAACGTTGCTTAGGCTGGTATTCTCAAGCGGTCACCCATCTTAGGTACAGACCAGGCTCAACGTTGCTTAGGCTGTGTTAATATCCAATAAATAAAGTTCGTGTCCAACTTTAAGTACTCATAATTTTATTTTTATTATTTTCATTTTATCTATTTTTTATCCTTTTCTTGAAATTTGAAAATGACTTTTCGTTTTTGTTTCAGAATTTTTATTGACCTATGGCGTAACTAGAAGAGAATGTGTTAAATCGATGGATTAGTTTTTTATCTTTACGGCTTATCAACCCTTTGAAAATTATTTAGAAGATCGTCCTTTTCCCCAACCCGCTTTTTTGGCCTCATGCCACATTTTCTGCAAATGAACGGAAATGAATATCGTTCTTCGCGATGGTACCTAGACTTTCTGAATTTAAGCGCAGTACTAGATTAGCAACAAGGTCTCATTAATTTGCAGTTGAATTTGGCGCGATGTAACAGTAAGTTCCATGCCATCAGTTTCTTTTTCGCATTTCTCGCTTGTGGAACTCTCTTCCGGCTCCATGCTTCCCACTTAACTTTGATGTTCAAAAATGTAAACGCAATGTCGATTGTTATCGAGTGTCTTTCTGATTACTCTTCTGTCGTTCCCTCTCCTTCATAATCTTTTCTGTTTTCGAATTCTTTCACACCCAGTAACCATCTTGAATATCAATGACCTTACTGCCTTGCTTTGGGTAAATTTGATTTTAAAATGTTAAATATAAAATTACGATTATTGACCGAATAGTTGGCACTAGCGGGTTACACGGCAATCGAAATTCACATATTAATTTACCAAATAATTCTATACGTTTAAATTATTTACTAGTTTCTTAAAGAAGCTATTATCAACTATGATAAATTTTATGGGGGAAATTCACAAGACGTATAACTTGTTTAGAATTTTGTTAAATTACCTCTCTACCCCATTTTTTTCTTAGGAAACGGCATTGTCTCTAATTATATAATTTATGTGACCATTTACTTCCGCTTTAGTTTTTATCTGGCTGCCATTAGCCGCAAATCTACGGGTCATGACCCATTTATAAAAAATATTTTTTCGCTTCTTCGCTTAGTTTAAATTTTACGTAGGTCATTTTGATTGGTTGATCCGTTTAAAGCCAAGAAACTAGATAATACCGCCATTTATTTTCGTAAAAAGAGGTTGTATGTTGCCTTTAAATCTAAATAAATCGTTCACTCGCCAATAATTTACAATTGCCTGATGAGACGCATTGATATGCATCGAAACACGACTGCAACTGTGTTGCGATTTTGACATGTTTTCGATCTAATATCCTAATATATATATATATATATATATATATATATATATATATATATATATATGGTACATCGACTTAAAATAATGCATAGCGAGGCTAGTTTGGTTAACTATTACTTTATTATAATTGTGTGATGAGTTCGATCCTCCGTCCTGTGTAAGACGATAAACTACATCCATCAGGAAGGTCTCTGATCATCCTGACCCGGGGTGGTAGCACCTGTTAGGGTCCCAGCTATGGGCAAATAGTTAACCCCTAAACTGTGGTCAAAGCATTATAAAAGTTTAAAAATAGGTTTTAATACCAGCAATACATTTTTGTAAAAATATTACCAGCAATGAATTTTTGAAGAAAAAATATTACCAGCAGAACATTTTGAAGGGAAAAACATTATCGGCAATACATTTTTGAAGGAAAATAATATTACCAGCAATAAAAATCATGTCGGCATTAAATAACCCATTGAGGTGTTGATATGCCGTAAAACAAACTAAACCGCTCACTACATTCTTTTCAATTCTAGGATCAACCGTTATCTATCCTATATATCGTACCACATAT